GTGTCCATGTGGCATGGTGACTCTGTCGCTTCTGCATAGAGTGAGGAAGACTGTGTGGGTGTGGTTGTGTATCTGCTGTATCTGTGTGCGTGTATCGGGGTCGCCCAGTCATCTGACGAATCCCAAGGTCGATCGTAGGAGCCAATTACGAAAGGAGGTCTCGCAGTCTTTGCGCCGTCCATCAGTCTCACTTGCCCTCTTTCTATCTATCTATCTATCTCTCTCTCTTTCTCGCACACACACACACATACTCCGCTTTTTCACCACTTTTCGCTATCCTATTATCAAAACATCACTTTCTCTCACCTCGAAACTTCACTGAATGAACAATTGTTCATTTGAGAAGGGAGATTACGAGGAACGAGGCTCTTGCTAGATTGACAGATGGATAGAGGAAGGAGGATAGTGAGAAATGGAAGGACTAATCCGGCCACATGCTTATTAAAATAACGCAAATGTAGAAACTAGGCAATCGACATATGTTGATATGAGAAGAAATGGACTAGCAAGATGCGGACAAAAAAAGTGAGAGTATGAAGGATAATTTTTATCTCGCCCCAAAATAAGTATAGCAAGTGAGTTTCGTTGGGTCAGCATTCCAACAACTATGCATGTGATTTCTCGCCCCCAATAGGTCATCTGTTATGGTTAATTGCCTTATTCAAGGTTCGAAAAATGGGAACTTTTAGCGGGTTCGCTGGGCCGGGGTCGAACAGGACCGATGCGAAGAGCTGGAAGCTGTAGGGGGTTAGCAGAAGATGAACCCAATACAGGGAAAGGCCACAGTGAAAAGTGGTGATGTCTATCTCCATCACAAGACGGTTGTGTGCGCGAGAAGATGGATCGAATTGCAAATAGACCCCTCAAGCACCAACATAAACACACGTAAAGTAGGTAAACTAAATCCTCTGCGTCAGTATATCATTTTAAAGCCATGGAGAGGCTGGAAATAGTCGACAATCGCATCGTAGATGTGAGGTAGTACAATTTGTCTGTCCACAATGACCGTTTTCGC